TTGACTCTTTTCTGTGGATGCTTAAGTAAATAGACATTACTATATTGTTCCAGGTTTGAATAGTGCACTAGTGAACAGTTGCAATTCTGTTTGGGATAAGGCAGAAAAACTCTAGCTACAGTGTTGCTTTGAAATAAAAGTGACAATCAAAAGTGCAGATGTCTGACTACGTATTTTCACAATGGTGGTGCTATCTTGAGAGTTACTGATACTTTAAGAGTTGGACTCTCAGAAATCCACAAGTTTGATCCCACCTTGATCTGCTGGCAGTGGTCCAAAGGGTGCCTGGACCGGTCTACTCTTGTGACCAGCCTAGTAAATAACCTAGCTGTCATCATAGAGCCTTTGTCCAATGACAGAAAGAGCCAGATAGAGAGACCCACAGCCAGGACTGAGCTCCAGGAATCCAACTGACGAGAGAAAGGAGAGATACTGCAGGCGAGGGACATTGAAGTCATGATGGGAGGACATGCAGAGATGACTGGCCACACTAGTGAAAGCCCATGAACTGTGGACTGGTGGCTGTGGAGCCCCCATGGGACTGGACTAGGCCCTCTGGATATGGAAGACAGTTGTTTGGCTAGAACTGTGTGGGGGGCACCAAGTCAGGGGGATTGGGATCTGTCCCTGGTCTATGGGCAGGTTTCTGGAATCCGGTGCCTGTGGTGTGACACCTTGCACATTCTTGGTGCAGTGGGAAGGAGCATGGACCTGCCTAGGCTCAGTGTGCTTGGCTCTGCTGACTCCCCATGGGAGACCTCGATTTGGGCGATGTGGGGTTGTGCGGAGGCTTGGGAAAAAGGACTGGGGTGGGAAGAAGGAGAATGGGGGAATTTGTAGATAGTATGTGGGGAGAGTAGAAAATTTCTTAATAAAGAAAAAATGAACAAAAATAGTTGGAAAGTTGTTGGCAGAATTATTTCAATGGTTGGAGTTCTGATGATTTATGAGTCTGACCCAATTCCAGTATTCACTCTCTGCTTCAAATGTGTGGACTGAGACATTTTGTTTCAGGGTTCTGCACATCTCTCCATGGGTGCCACACACTGGCATACCTCCTGAGCATAAAGGACTCCCATACCTCTAGAAATGTAAGTGAGATAAACTCTTTTTTCCAAAATTCACTTTTGGTCATAGTGTTTGATAATAGCAAGAAAACAAAACTTATTCAGTTTTGTGTTGTGAATGTAAAGAATTTCTACATCAGAGTGTCCTGGGAGACATTAGGAGAGCTGCATGTACCACTTCTCAGGTGTACTTAATTTGTGTCAACTTGATAAAAACTAACCCATGCATCACTGCATATTAACAGACATTTAAAGCTAAGAACTTCCATTTTTAAGAATCAGGAAATGATAAAACAATGTCTTCTATTAGTTTTGTTTTATCCTTCTCTACTTGGAATTTTATGTTAATGGGATTAATTTCAAAACCAGGAGTTGCTATAATGGGGGATGCATTTGTGTTGTTATGGTAAGTTGAATGGATTGAGATAATACATAACCTACCTCTGAGTATCTTTTTGGCCATTGTACCATCTGCTGAGACAAAGACAACTGTTGACCCTGGGGAACATTGGGTGAAAATATTCCAACTTTCACTTTTCGCCCTAGACCCTTCGGAAAATTCCAAAAGTTGAGAATATCATACTTATTATCATGTAACTTCTGTTTCAATTCTAAAGCCATGTTGGCTCCCACATGGATATTCCTCAAGAAAGGATGAATCTGAAAGTGATGCAAGAGCATATTTTAAAGTGGATGTGAGACATTGACTAGAAATAAATTATTGAGTGACTATCACTGGTCATAATCTCTGATGTAGGCTATCAAATGATGTATTACATATTTCAACATTTTATATATAATATATGTGCATATATATATATATATATATATATACATATCCACAGTCTTATATGTATATATGCATATGTAGGTAGTATGTATACACATACACACACACACACACACACACACACATATATATATATATATATATATAATATATATAATATATGTAAAATGTTTAAATATGTAATACCTTGTTTGATGCCTCTGAAAACTCAAAATATCACATTGTTGATGCTCTAATACAATGGAATAGATATTACCTGCCAGGGTGCGAAAACCATTCTTTCCCCATTTCCTAATGGTTGCATTTGTACTTGCTGAAGAATCATCTCATGGAGACTGTGGGCCACAGTATAGACAGCCTTGTATGTGTTGTAGCTGTCTTCATTCATTGCAGTGTCAAAAATGTATCTAGGCAGGAATTCCAAGGAGGCATTGGGTTGGCAGTTCTCTAAAAGATGACAATCCAGCTCTGAAAATGAGCACTTGAAGAACATAATCCACAATTTAGGAAGGTAATTGTCTTCTGGGTATTTATAAGGATTAACTGTTTGTATAAAATTTTTAAATTCAATGACCTGCTCATGGTGTTGTGAAAAAATGAGACTTCCATGGAATGAATCTAGCAAGAAAAAATCAGCAATATTAGTAAGGTCCCATTCAGAGGTCATGAGCCAAACTTTCATTGTCAAAATCTGTTGCCCTAGATTTCGCATTAAACCTTGTAGTGAATCATTGTCACCATAAATGATGATGATATTGGCAGATGATTCCTGGACCATGCCAAGACTTTTCCAGTATTTGTATGAAAATGAATTCCAGGAGCTTTGAATCATTTCAACAAAAGCTACGCAGACTTGATTATTCTCCATCTTTTCTCTGATATCTGAAAGAAACTGAGTCCCTCTGTGGTCATCTGGAATAAGTAAACCAACCCAGTTCCAGCCAAAATGAACAATCAGAGAGACCATGGCAAGAGACAGAGATGTGCCTTTAGGGGCCATCTGATAGAGAGAAGTAAACTGACCTCGGTCACTGAAGATAGGATCAAAAGGACCAACTGTGAGCTGAAGAGAAAACAATTGGGAACAAGAGAAAGAACAATGGTATTATGCACAATCCTTTGTTCTGTAGAAACAGATGGAAATGGTCAGCACAATGATGGATTCACCTTGATTTTGAAGGCAAATTTATCTGACAGAATTTTTCAGAAAATTACTAGCCTGACCTCCATTTTTATTAATTCTCCTTGTCTACTCTATCCTCCCCTTGTTTTCCTTCCCAAGTGACTGAAATAAAGATCCATCTGCAATTGCCTGGACACTTGTCATCAATAGCTAACTAATCCAAATGTCTGACATTTTCCTTTGCAGACCCCAAAATGTCAGTAAAAGAGACCTTGCTCCTTCACCCATACAACTCACTTGTGGAAATTTGTAGAGCTGAAGCAGTGTCTCAATATGAGCAGATTTTGCCCATGATGGTCCTGTTAGTGCAGCAGCTGCCTTTCTCTCCTTTACACAGTTATAATTACAGTAGGGATTACTCAGGCCTGTGAGCCAAATAAGGGGATTCATAAGAATGTTTTTCTCACTGTATGGGACATTATAAAAATCAAATCCCAGAGATATGTTTGGTAAAAGATGAGGGTTCCTGTTGATCTCCTCAATGGCAAACACCAGGGACAGAACCAACTCATATATTTTAAAATTATACCTGCAGAAATTGAATAAAAATATACCTGAGTAAATTACAGACCACACAGAGCTACAAATTTAGCACAATGGTTTTCTAGTGCAAATATTAGTGCTTATATAAAATGCATATTAAAAATTTCCCACTAAATTCCTGGAATTCAACTCACTATGTTAACTCATTAGGATGATATAAGATCATGTAGGTATGACCCTTATAATTGGCAGTCCCATGACAGCTCACTGTACTTTTTATTGCATTTGGTACACAATATAATTTACCCATAAATATAAAAAAGTACCTTACAATATAGTATATCTTCTGCTGAATTGTTTTTTGTTGGGTGATTCATCTTTATAAATATTTGTGATACTTTGACTACATTATCTTTGTAGAGTTTATATTACTTTTGTATCTTTTATGTGTGTGCCACTGTTTTTGAAATGTTTGAAATTTAAATGTTATGAGGGCAAGACAGAGGATAACCTCCACAAGTACATGTGGCTTTACTTTTCCTTTTAACAGTGGCTCTTCTCATCTGTTTGCTGATTCTTACTTTAAGTGTTTGGTTGTATTGGAGAAATAAATGATGTTGGAGATAATTTTTTAGATAGTAATATTGATGATATAATTCCATGCATGCCCTGTGTCTTAGTACACTAGTTGCCAGAAACAAATGGGTTTCCATTGTAAAACTAGAAATTCCTAAAAAATTGATTTAGAAAATATTCTAGTCTTTTTGAAATAGAAATAACCTAAGCAATCATAATTGATCTTGGAGGAAGGGACCCTAGGTGTAGGGTTAAATATTCACAGCCAAAATTCTTCCAGGATTTCTTGTTATGCTTAGATACCTGGCCCCCATACTACATAGGCACATGCACTAAACAGACATTCAGCCCACTTACTGATAATACTTACAGTGACTGGAGGTAGCCTTAATTAACATTAGGGGACTTACAAGGGGCAAAGAAAGATTTTTTTTTTACTTAAAAACTCGTCCTGAGGCCGGGCGGTGGTGGCACACACCTTTAATCCCAGCACTCAGGAGGCAGAGGCAGGTGGATCTCTGTGAGTTCGAGGCCAGCCTGATCTCCAAAGCGAGTTCCAGGAAAGGCGCAAAACAACAAAAAAAAACCCTGTCTCAAAAAACAAAAAAAAAAAAAAAAAAAGAAAAAAAGAAAAAAAGAAAACCAAAACAAACAAACAAAAAAAACTCATCCTGAGAAAGTATCCATGCTACCCTAGGGATATGATAACCCAGTATACTTGAGTTTGGCTAAGAAAGGGTTTCTATAACCTTAAACCAAGTTCCAGCATTCTTCTCTGGTGACTACACTAGAACACTAAATACTATCCATGGGAAGGAATAAAAAATAGTCAATATCATCTATGGTGATATTTTAATTGAACTGAAATGTGATTTTATTTGTATGTTAACACATAAAGTCGCCTGGGGGTCAGAGATAATAGCAAGCCATAGCAGAAGCGGGGTGGTGGTGGTACACGCCTCTAATCCCAGCTCTTGGGAGGCATATGTGGCTAATATAGCGATGAACCTGTGGGGTCAAGACCTGTTGCAACAATGGAATACTCAGATTAACATCCCTCCAATCTCAGAAACAAATCATAAACTAGCACATGTTACTGAGAGAAATATTAGAAGGTATTATTCTAATGAGTGGTAACCAGTTATCCATATCATACAAGAACAGAGCACAACAACTGATGATCTCCCAAAGACACCAACAGCTTTAACTTTAAAATGATTAACGGACAAGCCTGCATGGGTTCACCAATGGCCTTTAACAACAGAGAAACTCCAGGCTTTAAAACATCTGGTAGGAGAACAGTTGAATGCTCAGCATATTGAAGAATCAACCAGCCCTTGGAATTCTCCTGTATTTGTTATTAAAAAGAAATCAGGTAAATGGAGAATGGTAACAGACCGTAGAGCAACTAACAAAGTATTTCAGCCAATGGGCTCTCTACAATCTGGAATTCCTTTGCCTACTCTGTTGCCAAAATGATGGCCTTACATAGTTATTGATTTAAAAGACTGTTTCTTTTCAATACCCTTACGAGAAAAAGACAGAGAAAGATTTGCCTTCACGGTGCCTACTTGCTAATCTATGAACTATTGTTTGGGTAAAAAATGATGAATTGAATAATTTGTTGAAAACCTTAGAAGGTGACAAGGACTTAAATAGTCCAAGGGAATTATCACCTGAAACTGAGAAAGAATTGGCCTTGGTAGAAAAGAAAGTACATGGAGGACATGTGAATCGTATTGATCCAAAGCTGGATTACATTTTCATTATTTTACCTTTTAGGCATTCTCCTACAGGAATATTAATGCAGAGGGAAGATATTATATTGGAATGGATATTTTTACCAAATAAACCGAATAAAAATTAAAAGCTTATGTGGAAAAATATCTCTGACTTGATTTGGAAAGGAAAATTGAGACTTCGTCAATTAGCAGGAATAGACCCAGTAGAAATTGTTGTACTTTTAACTAAAGAGGACATTGAAAATTTATGGAAAGAAAATGAATCTTGGCAAAGAGCTTGCAGTAATTTTTGGAAGAAATTAACAGCAAATATCCCAAAAGTGATAGAATTGATCTTATAAAAAGATACGATTGGATCTTGCCTCGAATTGTATGGGAAAAACCCATATCTAGAGATCATATATTTTATATAGATGCCAACAAATAAGGAAAGGCAGTTTACAAATCAGAAAATTTAAGTAAAGTAGTTTAAAGTCCTTATAATTCAGTTCAAAAATCAGAATTGTATGCTATTCTGTTAGTATTAATGGATTTTTCAGAACCTCTCAACATAGTAACTGACTCTCAGTATGCTGAAAGAGTGGTATTACATATTGAGACTTCAGAACTTATCCCTGATGCTTCAGGATTATCTTTTTATAAGATCAGAGATCATATATTTTATATAGATGCCAACAAATAAGGAAAGGCAGTTTACAAATCAGAAAATTTAAGTAAAGTAGTTTAAAGTCCTTATAATTCAGTTCAAAAATCAGAATTGTATGCTATTCTGTTAGTATTAATGGATTTTTCAGAACCTCTCAACATAGTAACTGACTCTCAGTATGCTGAAAGAGTGGTATTACATATTGAGACTTCAGAACTTATCCCTGATGCTTCAGGATTAACTTCACTATTTATTCAGTTACAAGAATACAATCAGGAAAAGGAGTCATCTTTTTCCCCAAAATTAGTCTTGGGGAAAAGTTTTTGTTTTTGTTTTTTAGGAAATGGAATTAAGGAATTAATTAAGGTTAAGAAATCTGAAGAACACTGGACAAATGAGACAACTGAGGAAAAAGGACAAATCATCTATCCCAGGAAACAGAGTAAAATGGCCTATTGGTATATCATCTACAAAATTTTATAAGTCTTCATAAATGTTTGTTTCTGTTCTCCTCTAAAGACATTTAACACTATTGGTCCTCTTGTAGTCCCAGTTCAATTAAAATTTAAAGCTGACTTTGGAGATAGAGAATGGCTCTCTCCTTCTTTAAACTCAAGCATGTTGTTAAAAGGAAAATGCAAACTCCCTGTATCATCCCAGAATAAAAGAGCCATCTTCTGCTATGGGACAGAACAGAAGCCAAATTAATTAAGGGACTATTCTATTATCAATCTCAACTCTTTGATTCTATTCTGATTCTTTAAACTTTTCTTAAAGTATGAATTTTATATCAAAATTAACAAGATTAATATATATATATACATTCTAAATTTTGTTAAGATATGAATGGTCATATAGAGTACTAACTAATTCTAGAAAAAAGGATTCAATTAGCTGCATATATATGTTTTTGTGTTCGAGTCTCTTATCAGTTTTCTGCAGGAATTTACGGCCAGGCCTAACATCAGTTGAAGTCTCCAGGAAGAAGATGGGGCCCCACAACAACAACAATTCCATGTGGACAATAATAATATCACTAAGCTGACAAACATCATCTACAGATCAGCTTTGGACTATAAAGTGCTTAGACCAATTTTGAGAGGGCTAGCTGACATGATTCAAAGACTACTTGAATAAGGATTTGAGATACACCCTGAAATTTGGCATTATGCACAGACTGGATAACCAAGGATATATTTACCTTCCCTAGAATTTGGTGATTAACCCCAATTTTTTTTTCTTTTCAGGATAAAGATACCTTCACCCATACCTAGCAGGAAGCAATTTTAAGAATACGATGCCCACATTCCCAAAAAGATGGTGTGGGGCAGGTGTTTTTTTTTTAATGGGTTTTGGTTCTGGGATAATTTTCATTGTTTAGGAGGGTTGGTTACAAGTTGTGTTAAGGATTAGAAAAAGGGCTAAGCAAAGGAGATTAGATTTAAGGTTTTTTTTTTAAAGAAAAAGACTAAAAACCTTACCCTTTTATTTTATTTTATTTTATTTTACAATACTATTCAGTTATACATAACAGCCACAGATTCCCTTGTTCTCTCCCTTCCTGCCCCCCCTCCCCTTCCCCCCAGCCCACCCCCCATTCCCACCTCCTCCAGATCAAGGTCTCCCCCAAGGACTGAGAAACCCCATCCAAGGACTGGGGAATCTGCATGCAGACATCCACAGCTAGACTCCAAGTGGAGCTCTGGGAGTCTAATTAGTGAGAAAGAGGAGCATTTATATGAACGAGAATTGTTGAAACCAAGGTTGGATAAAGCATAGGGACAAATAACCAAACGAATGGAAACATATGAACTATGAACCAAAGACTGAGTGGCCCCCAACTGGATCAGACCCTCTGAATGGGTGAGACAGTTGATTGGCTTGATCTGTTTGGGAGGCATCTAGGAAGTGGTACCAGGTCCTGGGCTCATTGCATGAGTTAGCTGTTTGAAACCTGGGACTTATGCAGGGATGCTTGGCTCAGTCTGGGAGGAAGGGACTGGACATGCCTGGACTGAGTCTATCAGGTCGATCTCAGTCCTTGGGGGAGACCTTGATCTGGGGGAATACATTTCATACTCA